GTGGAAGGAGGAAAATATTGCTTCTCTTGTCTGGTGTCATGGGCATATTTCCCCACAGGCTTAAGCAGCACAGTGCAGACATTACTACTGTGGAGTAGCACTAGGCCATTTGGTGAGGGAAAAATTTTCAATGTTTTAATAACTTACTGTTTTATTGATTGCAGGAGGAGCTGCTAAAGGCTATTGCCAGCGTTGTCTCAACCTGCAAGTAAGTGCCTTGAAAAACAAACTTCCTTCAGGTTCTGAGATCCCAAAAAGGAGGTTCTTTTCACAGGGCAGTTGCCTTGCTGGTGCTAGCAAAGAGGCAAGAGGTAGTATAAAGTTGTGAGCACTGCCCTTATCTCTCATGAGGAAGTGAGCAGTCCGTCTCTGCTTATCTAGTCCGTGAGAGTCACTGGTGAGAACTAGTGAAATAGCAGAATATGCTGTGGAGCATTGGTGGCATTAGGGCAAGGAGGAGGATGAAGGGCCAGGGTTGCCAAGAAGAGAGAGGAGAGCAAGTAGAAGATGGGTGAGGTGGGAGAGTGTGCTGGAAGCATATGAGGAGGAACAGGAAACAAAAGTAGAGGAGAACAGACATAGTGAAAGAGCAGCAGCATGGTGCAGGTTTATTTACGGCTGATGGTAGGCTGCCCTATGCCTGAGTATGGGAGCTCCTTGCTATCTGTGGGAAAAGCTATGTTTGGGAAGGGCCTAATGGGGATCTGAAAGTCTGCGTGCTCCTTGTGTCTCAGTGCAGAGCTGCAGGTGCCTGTCCTGGGTCAGCCCAGCGTTGGCGAGGTTGCCCAGGCGGTGCTGAAGGAGTGTCGGAAGGAGACCCTGCAGTACAAGCTGGTGGCGCTGCGCTGCGCCGGCGAGGTGCTGCAGGCGACAAAGCAGGACCGCTTCCAGGAGGTGGCAGACATCGTCTTCCCCATGATAAAGAAGGTGACAGCTCCGTTTTTTGGGTCTTGGCTCTTTCAAAACACAGCACCCAGGTGCTGACAAACCAGATGTTGCTGTTCGAGGCACACTTTTAGTTTTCTACATGTCTGCCCAGAAGGAGCAGCTGATGGGAAAAATACCAAAAAAATACTCATCCAAGTCCTGATGGGGAGTTGAGGGCTGGGAGGGTTGTAGCTGCTGCCTAACTGCTACCTAAACTCTGAATTAGCCCGAGTGCTCTCTAAGCAGAGTCGGTTCTGTGGTGCCCAGCATTACGCCAGTGCTGTGTTTGAGTCTTGTCTACTCTAGATGCAGGGAGACCTGCAGGAGGCTGTATAGTTAGCCTGCCCCATTGAGTATCTGCAGTGCTCTGCAGATGAGACCCTCACAACGCAGGGAGCTGTTTGAATGTGAGGATGGAGAGCCTGGTGAGCTCCTCTTAGGTTGCCAGCAGTGTCAGAGCTGCCAAGGTGCCCTGCGTGGTTGAGTACCAGGTACAAGACCAGTGCACACAAACTGCAAGGGAAGGCTAAGCTGAGCGGCTTGGCTGGCATGCCCTCACCCCTCTGTCATACACCCTTCACAGAATGCTGCTGAGAGCACGGGCATGGCTTCACCAAAGCAGGACGAAGAAGATGAGGACATGAGGGAGAGGGAGATGCAGATGGAGTCGCTGATCTGTGCCTTCGAGTGCCTGGGTAAAGCCTGGCCCCGGAGCCCGGAAACGCAGCGTAAGTCAGCAGAAAGACCTCTCTGTCTGGCCCTAAAAATAAAAGCAGAGTGGAGGGAAGCCTCAAGATCATGTGGAAGGGTGGGGAGGAACTGCAGGATTTCACTTCCTGCAGCTTCCAAGATCCTTTCAGGTCTTCAGTGAAAAAGCTACTCCAAAAACTTTCCTACAGAGTAGCCATCCCTGGATAATCTCCTTACCCTTCACTTCCTGGAACTGTTCTGAGTTTGTGGGAACAAGAAACTTCTAGGGCATCATGCTCTAATGCAGGGTGTCTGATGTGGCATGTTAACCAAAAATGCCTGGTTTTGCCAATTACAGTTACTTTGCATCAAAGCTGGAAGGTACAAGGTGAAGGAACTACATAGATGTCCTGGGGTTTTCAGCCTGTGTGGCTGAAAATGAGGGGACATCACGGTGCTTTTAGTTAACATGACAAAAGGCCTGTGTAAATATTCATGTTCTAAAGTTTGTTAGTGAGAGTGTTTTCCTGCCTAGATGTGTGCAGGCTTTTAGGGTCACTTGGTACAGGATGTAGCTTGATGTCACTTGGAGTGCATTACAGGGAGCAGGGAATGTTTCTCTCTGCTTTTCGCCTTTGTACCATGATGACATCCTTATTTCTCTGCAGGTTGCTATCGACAGGAGTTCTGCAGGTTGATGTGTGAGCGTCTGAAGCTCAGTACATGGAAGGTGCAGCTTGGGGTGCTCCAGGCCATGAATGCCTTCTTTAAAGGGTAATTTTCCTAACCATCCTCTGGCTTGATGTTGTTTCTTTTCCTTGACACTTCAAGCTGTTCTGTGAAGTTGTGGCAAAGGTGGCTCTTGTCTCAGAGACAGCTGAGCAGATGTACAGAAAAGGGAGTCCACAGGGTGTCTGACAGCGTTTTTGCATTTGGCAGGTTAATGCTGTTCGAAGAGGAGCACTCAGACCATGGGGCTTTGTCAGGAATATTGTTGGAAACCTGCTCATCTATCACCTATTCTTTAGGTAAATGGACTTTTCTCAGTTTGTGGTTGATGATGAGTTATTTATTAAAACCATCTTCCTCTGAAGGCTGGCATGCAGGCAGAGGGAAGGATAAATGTAGCGTGTCAGAGATAATACCTCACCCATCTTTGCATCACACAGTGATTATTTTGATTTGGCAGTTGCTCTTCAGGACCAGTAGTGTACAGGGTGCCCTGCCCCAAAAAGTTTTTTTTTTTTTGATGAGAGGGAACTTCAGAGGGAAGGGAAGGAAAATATTGCTGCACAGGTGCCTGTCAAGAATATAAATCTGAAACTCATTGTTCGTTTGTTTTTTTGTTGTTGTTTTGCTTTTCCCTTGTAGAAAATTAATCCCATCTAACCAAACTGTTAGTGATGTAATGAAATAATAGTTTTCTGCTCCCTAAGTTCAGGCTTCTTGGGCACATTGCTTTGAAAATACCCCAGAACTGTTCAGGCAGCCAAAGCAGGTTGCTCCAGGACTCTGAGCCCCTTGGTGCTCTCCCTGAGGAAAGCACATGTGGGTGCTAACGTGCTCCCTATGCAGTGTTAACAGTCCTGGGGGCTGCTTGTTGCTCAGGCAGTTTCCCAGCTTTATCTTATGGCTGTGGCAGTGCCCAAAATCTCCTCACACGCCCCTAAGAGGTGTGTGCCATACAGCCAGACCCAGAGGGGCAGGACACACGGGGTAGATGGGTTTCTTTTAACCATAAAGACTGCAATGGAATGAGGTATTTACAAGATTGTAGGTCTGCAGGCCAAAACTTTTGAACACTTTAGCCTGGTGCTTGATTTGTCTAGGGTTTATATACCCTCACTTAACACTGCTTATTGATACCTAGGTGGTCTATAGCCATTACAGTTCATTAAAAGCCAAGTCCTAGGCACAGAATCTGTTTGTGATCGCGCTGCAGTTGGGCCAACTCTTTCTCCTTCAGCATGAGGAACAGTAGCGCCGCGGAGCCCTGCCCAGGGCTTTATGTTCCTGCCAGCCCATAGCTGCTCGCTCTCTGCCACCCACTTGTGTGGCTGGTGGGGAGCCCTGCAGCACAGAGGAGCTCTCTGAGCTGTGGAGCAAAAGCTCCCCGAGACCACAGTGCTTTCTGCTTCTTGTGCAGTTAGTGTGCGTTTGCCTCTGAACGTGTGATTTTTTTTTCCCTTAGAAAACAAAAGCTACACATCCATAAGAACAGAAGCTTTGTCCGTGATACAGCTGCTCTGCACCAAGCTGAATGGTGAGGATCTTCACATCGTTCCGTGTGGGAAAGTCAGTGTTTGAGAAAGGCGGCGCATGGCCTGGGGACCTGGAGAGGGGCATGTCTGCCTTTTGACAGAACTAGGTAGCTGAGCAGCGTGCAGGTAGCTGTGGAAGGTGCCTGGGACGCTCTGCGACTGGGCCCTGAGGAAACATGGAGAGGGCTTGAAGCAGCGGTGGGTGAGGTGAAGGTCCAAAGTGCCATCTCCAGAGAGAGCAGGACAAGTTGGACAGGCTGTTTACAACTAACTGCTTTGTTTTGTGCAGAGGAGAGGTTCTTGCACCGCCTCACTGTCCCCTTGGAGTTTCAGCCGTGGCACAATTTGCCTGAGAGACGCAATGTGTTCAGGTCCTCTGTTCCCTGGCAGATGCGTGCTGCTGTGGATGTGCTCTGCATGTTTACTCTGTCCTAGCAGAAACTGTTTTCCATCCCTGTTGCATAACATGAAGTCAGAAACATGTTCTCGCATGTCCCACGCTTAGGGAATAAAGTTCAGCCTGGTTTGGGTGGGCTCAGCTCCCTGTGCAGGAGATCATGTGTGTTTTCCCAGCTGAGGTTGCTCTTTGGTAGCCTTCTCCTTGAGGAGTTGATGAGAAGCAGTCCCTTCAGCCTGTCCAAGCATTAAGAAAATGTTTTGGACTTTTTTTTTTTTTTGGCATTCTGGTGTTCAAGTCCAGTGTCTGTCTCTCTTTATTTACACAGAAGCTAAGCAGTGGGGAAGCCTGGCACCAGAAAGCAGAGACCGCCTCATTTGTTCCTTATCTGCAATGGCATCCGATAGCAGACCCGAGCTGCGGGAGAAGGCCTCTGCGTTGAAGAAAACACTTGAAAATCTTGACTAAATTGTAAACGCAAACTATAAAGTGCCATGTAAAACAAACAGAAAAAAAAGTGCAGTGGTCTGAAAGCTGAGTGAGAAAATGAAGATTACTCTGTAGCATGCATTGGTTCTGGCCAAAATAAAAAATGCCTTAAATTCTCTTCCCCATTAATGTTATTTTTACTCTTTTTAAGCTACCCATCCAGTTATTGTTGTATCAGTAAATACCTCTAATGATCTGCCCCAGAATGCTTGCAAGTGTGCAGCACGAAGTAGCGTTCAGGAAGATGCATATTTTCTTTTCTTTAAATAGGCAAGAGAATGTTGCTCAGATCCCCCTTGTCCCTCAAGGAAGTCGCTGGAAACCCACCAGCGCTGGGAGCCAGAAGCACGTTTGACTTTCCACCTTGTCGTGTTGGGCTGCCCCTGCTCCCGCGCGGGGCCGGATGGCGCCAGGCGGCCGCGCGGCGCCTGCGGGGACGGTCCTGCTCCACGGATGCACGGAGGCACTTTACGGAGCCGCGTGGGGCCCCGGCAGAACACTGCTCTTCTCGAAGTTGTTTTGCATGGACACTCCTCAGCTGCAGGAAGTAAAAATGAAAATGAAAAGCAGTCTTTTCTAGAGATGTTTTTGAAGAGTGTTCGGAGTTTGCAATGATACATTTTTTTGATAGTAGTAATCTTTCTTTCTTCTTCATGTTTGTAACCCTGTTCTTGCTTTGGAAACCTGTAGTGACTTAGACTTGTCAGTGTCTGTAACGAACTGAATCATCTGTCATTTCACAGCAGCTGGATTCATGCTGGTTCACAGCAAATACTTTTAAATTTTGCACTTAGGAAGAAGGAACATGCCTGCATTAACTTGGAGTAAAATTTCTGTGTGGTGAGATGGCCAGGCTGCCTGTGCGCTGTTCCCCTCCTCGGACTAAGGACGAGGCCACTGTAACAACAGGCTTCTAGTGGTGGGAAGTTACCCTGTACCCTGACCTGACCCACACGAGAGCGGCGTTTTTGGAGGTGAACGCTTTGCCGATGGTGAAATGAAATACTCAATGTATTGTTGGCAATGTTGGCAATATTACGTCCATGACTTTCAGAGAGAAAAGTCTGTTTCTTTGCTTATGGTCCCCAGCTGCTCCAGCTGGACCTGCCGGACAGGATGTATCGGAGATTCCTGGGAATCCAAGGCAGCGTTCCCCCCGCTGTGCCCGTCCGGAGCCGTGTCCGCGGCACCCGCCTTTCCCTGCCATGCCATTTCCCATTCGGTATTTTCTAGTACTGTAACTGTATTTAAGCTGTCTGATTTTTACCCATGGAAGGGAGGAATGTAATCAGTGCGCACCTGGTAAGGAAACTTCAGCAAAAATGGGCAGATCTGTCCCACTGTGGCGCTTCTGTAGCAGAAACCTCAGCATCAAACGCTAGATAAAACAATCTTGTACTGGAGGTGATCAGTGAGTAACTCCCTGGTGCTGAGAGCTGGTGCTATAATGTTTTGATTTACACCTTGTTGCAGGGAGCTGTTTTTTGTTTACATGCAGTTTGAACTGTTAAGCACAGTTGTAAATTTTAAAATCTTATTGGGGAAAAAAAAAACACTTTATGATGTCTTCAAAATCTTGCTCATCATGACATGTAGTGTCATGAGTGCTCAGTTTTTATTAGATCAGTATTACCAGTGATGCTTTGCTGTAGCAGTTTCCGTCTGACTCGTTTTTTCTGTTTTTGGTTTTTTTGGAGGTTTTTTTTTGGTATTGGTCGGCATTACAGTTACAGAAAAGCAAGACTCTCCAAGTCTCTGGTAATTTGATTTTTCACTGTGGACTGTAGTATTGAGACGCAATGCCTAATATGGTCAAATGACTATGAATAGAGTAACTCTAATAGTGGTCAATAGCAACTTGTATTTCACTAATGGGGATTTAAACCATATCAAAGAGCATATTCGAGGAAATCTAAAACCAGCTGAATTAACAACTCTGGCTGAGATTGTTAAGGTGGTTAGAGGTGGTATAAAAGGTTTCTCTGTGAATCACAAAGCAATATGTTTTTCCGTGATTACAGGATAGATTCAGAGACCCTCTCTGAAGGATGTGCCTATACACAAAACCTACCTGCACAAGAGTTAATTCAGCCAGAGGTCAGATTTCCACTCCTGCTCATTTGTAAACTTGACAGGATTAAAAAATAAAATAAAAAAAATTGTGGCCTTCCTAGAGTTTTTCCTCTAAAAGTGATTGCACTATGTAAAACACACTGTACTACTTTGCCCAGTGTGGGCATTTCCTGTGCTGCTGCGATGCTGCTTTGTGCACCCGGAGCGAGGTGTGCGGTTCGATGTTAGCACTCCTTCTACCCTACAAGCTGCTGCTTAAGTGGATGTATATTGAGAAACGTTTTCTAATGTTGCAAGAGCTCCATCAAATTCACTGCATTCTGTACTTGGCTGTTGAAGTATGTAAATGGATTGATTGAAAGAAAACCCTCCTGCTTACCAAAAAGGTAAAAACTAAATAAAGTTGCATGACCTGTTCTTGGAAGTAACTGGTAATTTTTTTCTCCCTGTGACCATTTTAAGTTGAACACAAACCTCTGTATTGTGCTTTTAGCTGATGTGTTTGTGTTTTCCAAACACGCAAAGCCAGATTTCTGCCTTTCATTCGAAAGGCATCCAAGCAAAGCCTTTTGCCTTGGTAGTGGGATAGCTTGCAAGCAGCAGGTGGGAGCTTTTTCACTTAGTATAAGCCCTGGTGAGGCCACATCTGGAGTACTGTGTCCAGTTCTGGGCTCCACAGTACAAGAGAGATGTGGAGCTGCTGGAGAGAGCCCAGCGCAGGGCCACAAGGATGATCAGGGGCCTGGAACATCTGCCCTATGAGGAGAGGCTGAGGGAGCTGGGCCTGTTCAGCCTGGAGAAGAGAAGGCTGAGAGGGGACCTGATCAGTGTCTATAAGTACCTCAAACTGAAGCATCAACATTTCCACAGGAACTTAAGGAAAAATTTCTTGCCTATGAGGGTGACAGAGCACTGGAACAGGCTGCCCAGAGAGGTTGTGGAGTCTCCTTCTCTGGAGACCTTCCAAACCCGCTTGGACGCAGTCCTGTGCCATGTGCTCTAGGTGACCCTGCGTGTGCAGGGGGGTTGGACTAGGTGACCTCTAGAGGTCCCTTCCAACCTTAAGCATTCTGTGATTCTATGATTCTGGCAGGTTAACTTTTATTTCAACTAACTCATTTCTCACACTTCCAAGGAATAGGTTTCTGTAGAGTACAGACTTAACGCCCATGGGCACGTTTGACTGGTTTAGTGTGCGAGGGAACTCCCGTTTCTGCTGGAGAAGCATGCAGCAACAGCTGGGTGAACCATTCCAGAAATAGGACAATTTAGGATATATCAACCTTGCCTGAAAGAAATAGGAGCAAATGATGCTCCTTTGCTGCAGTGGGGACAACAGTGATTGTTGCTCTTGAGGTCGCAGATGTGAGATTTCAATTAACTATAGGATGTTTTTCCTGGGCTAAAGCCAGACAGCTTGAGGTAACATTGACCAACCACCTTTGAAGTATCACTTGGACACACTGCTTAAATAGAAGCAGCTTCAATAAGGAGCCCAATTTCTAAACTCCAGCTATGAAAGTCAGGGCCTTAGCAAAGCTGCAGTAGTCCCAGGCAGAAAGTACTCCAGAGAAGGAGACTCCACAACCTCTCTGGGCAGCCTGTTCCAGTGCTCTGTCACCCTCATAGGCAAGAAATTTTTCCTTAAGTTCCTGTGGAAATGTTGATGCTTCAGTTTGAGGTACTTATAGACACTGATCAGGTCCCCTCTCAGCCTTCTCTTCTCCAGGCTGAACAGGCCCAGCTCCCTCAGCCTCTCCTCATACGATAGATGTTCCAGTCCCTTAATCATCTTTGTCACTCTGTGCTGGACTCTCTCCAGTAGCTCCACATCCTTCTTGTACTGTGGAGCCCAGAACTGCCCCCAATACTCCACATGTGGCCTCACCAGGGCTGAGTAGAGGGGCAGGATCACCTCCCTCGACCTGCTGGCAACGCTCCTCCTGATGCTGCCAGGATGCCATTGGCCTTCTTGGCCACGAGGGCACATTGCTGCCTCATGGTCAACTTGTCATCCAACCTGCATTCGAAACAGGCAGAAACAAATTTGTGTGGAACGCTATCAAAGTTAATGCATCTCTGGAAATAAATTGAGATTTGAATCACACTGATACATGTTTTTCCCTCTAGGGAAAAACAGAGGATGGGGCTCTGGAGAACCTTGATGCCACCTTCCTGATACAAATGATAGAGGAACAAGCAAGGTGAGATGCTCTGCTGGACCTTGTGCTTATGAAAAAGGAGGGGTCAGTTGGAGATGTGAAGGGTGGGGGCAACCACGGTTACAGTGACCATGAGAGGGTGGATCCTGCCAAGAGGGATTAGGGCAGGATCACAGCACTGAACTTGAGGAGGGCAGATTTTGGCCTCCTCAGAGACCTGCTCAGAAATATCCAATAAAATAGGACTCTAGGTGGAAATGGGGACCAAGAAAGATAGCTGGAGGCCAAGGCTCATTTAGAGTTTAATCTGGTCAGGAATGTCAAGGACTGCAGAGAGGGCTTCCTCACACATACCTGTAACAAAACAAAGGCCAGGGCTGCTGTAGGCACACTGCTGGATGGTTACAAAGGACAGAGCTGGCAGATGCTGGATGTATTCTTGGCCTCTGTGTGTCCTGGTAAGAGAAGCCCTCAGTCAGCTCAAGCCCAGGCTATCACAACTTTCCCAGATGGGAGGAGTTAAATTTTACAAACCAGATCACATGCCCTGATGAGACACCCTTGCACATCCTGAAGGAAATGGATAATATTATTGCAAGGCCACTCTTAAACATCCTTGAAAAGTCATGGTGAGCCCTTCATGACAGGATGCCTGGCTGGGAGGATGAGGAAGGAGCAGTGCATGGTGTCTCCCTTGGGGTTCAGTGGATTTCGACCCTGTCTCCCCTCCTGTCCTTAGCGCGGAGCTCAGGCAGGGTGAGGCCCATGAGCAGGCAGCGAGTGTGACCAAGAGGCAGGGGAAGAGCAGAGGGCAGTGCGCAGTGGCACAGTCTGGTTGAAGGCCTGTGGCTTTCCGTGGCCCCCGAGCATCAGAACTGCCTCTAAGCCCAGTCGCGAGGGGCTGCAGCCAGAGTGCTGGGCCCCTTCACCGCAGGAGAGGATGGAGCTACTAGAGCAAGGCCAGCAAAGGGCCATGGAGCTGCTGAGAGGACTGGAGCGTTTCTGAGCTGAGGGAGGGCTGAGAGAGCAGGGCCTGTTCAGCAGAGAGGGGTGCGTTTAAACACCTGGGAGGAGAATTAAAGATGTGGGTGTGAGCCTGGAGCCAGGGACAGGCTGAGAGGCCACAGGCTGACTGGAACATAGGAACCCTGAGCGTGAGGAAACAGCGTTTTTACTGTGAGCACTGGAGCCGGGGCCCAGGACACCTCCTCCATCCTCAGCAAGGCTGGAAATCCCTTTGGACACTGTCCTTTACCCTCTGAGCTGGACAACGCTGCTTGGGCCGGCGGGCTGGGTAAGACATTATGAACCACCCTCACGACAGCAAAAGGGCTCGGCTTAAAGCTGAATTTTCTCATTTGGGGGTTAAATTGCCTAAGTGAGGAGGAAAAAATAGGTGTTTTGTACAAGATGGATTTTTTTTTCCTGCAGTCTGAAAAATGAAAGAAGGTGACACAAAGATTGGGTGGTTGCCCGCTTATTTAAGTCTAGACTCACTAGCTTTGCTTCAAGCAAGTCACCATAGAAATCCAGCTGCAATGACTCTACTCCTACCTTTCGTGTTCCTTGCAAAAGGAAGAAAAATAGAAATGAAGAAAAAAATAAAAAGTTAGCATTTTCCCCAAATGTTTGCATTCTCTGTGAACTGTGTAACACAGAGTTCAGAGAATGTACAGAAATAATGAGAATTTAAGAAATAGAAGTTCAGGATTGAGAAAAAATATTCACTTCTCATTAGATGCTTGCAGACAAAGTACATAATGATTTCTGTAACTTGAATTTATTAAAAATACATTTATGCAGCAACTTACAAAATAATTGTGTGATTAATATCTTGCTTAAAGAAGTTACCACAGTTAAAACTATTAAGCTGTCACCTTTTTCTTGTGAATTGACAAGAAAAATGCAGTACTTTTAGACTTTGCAAGAAGGTTTCTAAACTCCATAAAGGCTATAGTTATTGCTGTTCCTCTTACAAAGCAAGTTGCTGCTAATATGCATTTGTTTGGAAACGCTTAAAAAATAAAATTGCGTCAGGTAAAAGTGGTCAGTTCCACTAACATTAAAAGCAGGTAAAAAGATAAGAGGTATAGATGTGATAAAATCCAACTAATAACAATTTAAAACGTAACATTAACAGTGAAATTCACCTTTCTGGGCTTCCTCATGACATTACCAAGTTAATCGTCAGGCATCTCCCATCCTTGAATCTTCTCTTTCCGTATCACCTTTTTGCCTTTTCTTCTTGTTGCCGTCTTTTTTGCTGCTTTGAGACTGCTCGTATCTTGTGACAGTGGAAACACCATCCACAAACTTGGTCTTGTACAGGACATTTGCATTGTTAAACATCCCATCCTTCAAGGACACCACGATAAACTACAAACAAAGAAATAAAACCTTAATGGGATGAACACTGCAATTTGAATAAGGATATTTAGCAATTGAAAAGTCTCATAAAGCGATTCCTGTTCCTGTATTTGGCTATTATTGTGGTGATAATTCTTCAATATACTGAACATAAATGAACCACAACAGAATGAGCTATTGGGTTAATATCTGCTATTGCTCTCCTTCCTTGATACACCAGCCATTGGAAAATAGTGTCATCAGTTTTATGCAAAGAATGCAGGATCTTCCAAAGTCCCAAAATATCACTTAAATGATTTCATAGTACTGGTAACAAGCATTCCTACGGCCAAATAGAGGTAAGCATACTTCTCAAGCTTATTTCAACAGGGCCCAAAACAAAATAGTTGAATTCAATTCAAAGATTTTTAGCATTAGTATTTAAAAAAAAATCATAATAATGCAATGCCTCAATCATTACCTGGGAGTGTCTGAAGTGATTTTGCAGCATCTGCCCGATGTTCTGGGTATGAGAGAGATCAAGGGCTGCATCCACTTCATCCAGGATGTAAATTGGGGCAGGTTTGAAAAGAAGCATGGCTAAGATCAAAGACAAAGCCACCAGTGACCTAGCACAGAGAAAAAGAAAATTGTGTTTTACCCTTCATTATTCTCTAATGAAAATAATTGTTTGATTGAAAATCTCTCAAAAACAGTTTCACACTGTGAGTCCTAGAGAGACAGAATGACAGCTCCTAACAAAATCCAGTTTTAAAATGGGACATGGGAAATAGGATAAAAATACTTTTTTATCTTTTCTCAGAAGAAAATGTTACTTAGATTATGGTATTTATGATTATGCTTTCACTTCGCCAATTTTCAATTGTGAGATTTACAGTACTGTTTCTAAAACTTACAATTCTTGAAACATTCAGGATCTTTATTCTCTAGAAGATCCTTTACCTAATATTTCACCTCTGTCTAACTTCTATTTTTACTTTTAAACTTGTCAGATTTTTCTTTGAAGCCGCTGTACTCTGGTGAAAAGAGCATATGGCCTGTGTAACAGCTGAAATCTGTCCTGATGGTACTAAAGCAAAAACAGGGAAGAAAGTTTTGTCACCATACTATTTCTGAATTCAGTTTTTGAACTTGCCTGCACAGATATTTGAGACTACAACCCAGAAATGGGAGAATTTAGCATCAACATTAACTCCCTATTCCCTAGAGTTAATGCAATAAATATTCATTTTTGTCACTTCTCTATGCAGTATTTTTTCTGCTATTATATGCTACGCAGTACAATATCCTAAGTCACATTCCGTTTGTTTCTGAATGTCTCTCATAGGCATGTATATTAATAGATTTAACTTGAACTAAATTAGTAATATTTGAGTATTAAATCAGATTAGAAAAGTAAAAAATTACTATTTTTACCTGGAAGGAGATAGTCCCTGATTTGACCAATCTCCTTACAAGTAAAGAGATTCATTTTTGCTTTGGGCTTATCACATACATAGCTGCAATGAAAAACAAACAGACAAACGGAAACAGTAACAACAACAACAAACAGAGAGTACAAACCTTTGGCCTCCACTAAGTTCTGATAAATTATCTTTCCATACGTTTCCTAAGGCCACTCTGAATTCCAGACCTTCTAAGATATTCTGAGAGTTACTTGCTGCCAGCAGAACCTTGCCTCCTGGTAGTAATGTTGAGAAAATGGACTCTAAGTCTTTGTTCACCTGTAAGTCAGAGGATCACAGATATTTGTAATGACTTTAAAATCAGGACCTGCTGCGTGCTCCCAGTGGGAGCTGCAATAGTAAGACACATTATGCTGTAGCTTTCTTGCCCAATTTAATTCTTATGTGATAATTAGCACATGTTGGACAGAGAACATGTTAGCATATGGAATCTTTTTTTCCTCTATATTGAAAAGAGATGCAAGATACAGGGAAGTATGTAGGACACTTTAGACAGCATTTGAGAAGGATCAAATGTAAAGAAAAAAAACATTTTGTCTTTCAACCATGAAAATGGCTTTGTCCTATCTCAGATTTATTAACTAGTAAATTGGTATTTATCTCAATTGAAAGAACTATTAAAAGTATAAGCTCCGCGTAAGAAGCACACATGGGCATCCTTCCCCCACTTTCTCCCCTCAGGAGTGCTTGAATAATGGCCAGTTAGTTGATATGATAAAGTTTTGCAAACCCAGTTAGCAAATCCATAGGGCAAGAAATGCACCTGAGGAAGTTCTTATTTCATCACGTATTAATGTTTTAAATATAATTCAAAGACTTAGACTGAACAAGATTTTGCAGTATTAGGTGAGACTGTCTTAGTGGTATCTCGAATACTAGCAGTAATAATTAAAACTGATACTTAATGTGTGAGCAATTTAAGTTATTTGACTAGAAATTCTCCTTAATAAATCTTCTCAAAACCCAAGAGCTTTGAATTGCTTCAAAGCGATTACTTTTGAATGGCTTATTCAATTGCTTTGAATTGCTGAGTCAGGAGCTGTAGCCCAGGCCCACAGTTGTTTGGAACTGCTATGTAGTCAGAGACCAAAAGGATTTTTAATTCTGGACAGAGATTTAAGTACACAGAAGCACACAAAGAAGTCGGAGAAAACTGCATTCTGAGATCAGTCTGTGTGCGAGGCAATGATTTCAGCATGCAAGTAGCCTAACTCTACTTCTACTGGCAAAGAGTGGAAAAAAAGATAAGCTTAATTTTGCACATCTCTTTTTATAGGTCTCAGACCCAGTTCGTTCCTTAGTCTCAGAACAGGAAAACACGGAAGAAAAAGCAGGGTTTCTGTCATTTAGATACTAGAGAATGGAGACTAGTTCAGGAATAAGACATAAGGATATTTTTATAGAAATGTTCAAAACTTACTAGTCTATACTAATAGTAAACTAAGGAACTTGATGTCAAGATAAATGCATGTTAAAATGTGAAAAGTGGATTTTGAAGGGCATACCTTCTGCCAAGCAATGTGCAAAGCTTCATTTTTCTTCTGGTCAAGCTCTTGAATAGTTGCAAGAATTTTAGACTTGTCATTCTCTACAATTCTTTTTTTCTTCCTTAAATCATTGTACTGGCACAATGAGAATTATTTTAGTATATTTGGTGCAAATTTCATTAAAATTAAAGACAATTAAACTCTACGTATGAAATAGCTACTATTCACAAAACTGAAATCACAAGCATACGCTTAACTGTAGGCAGGATTCAGGTTTAGGATATTATTTGTATTTTTTCAACAATTAGCAGTGAGGAAAACTAACATTACTTTATGAAAACTGCATTTCTTTTCCAGTCTACTTGTAATTTTGTAAGCAAACAAGAAAAATGGACAAATTACAGTCTTGAAGAAGTTGTAAGATTAAAAAGTCAATTGACAGGTTTCACACAGTCCTGAAATAACTTCAGGATATAGATGAAAGGTTGCAGAACAAAAAAATGATCATTATGTAATTCTGAAATACTAATGGATACTTTAAAACTTGCTTATTGCTACTGTTGCCAGCTTAGAACAAATAGACTGATGTAGGGGAATGAATAAAATTAGACATTTTTATGTCCAAAGTGAAGAAAGAGTATGCCTAACCTAGATTACTAATGCACAAATAGTTCAATCATGTAGAATTAAAGTATCGAGGCTTCTACAAAAGACGTCCGGTTATGACATGAAATTTTACTATTAGTTTTGCCTGCATTCAGCAACAGAATATATTGAGAATAGTGCTAAACCGCACTCTGAAACCTCTAAGGTTGAACCTCTAAGGTTAAAGTGCAGAACATTTACCCTCTCTTCTGCCTCAGAAAGCATATTCATGGCTCTCATGTTCACATTTCGTCCCAGCTTCTCTTTCTTCTCCCGCAATTTCTGCAGCTTCTGACCAGCTTCTTCTGGATTGTTGTTTTTGAAGTCGTAGGCTGTTTGTGGCTGACCAAAGAGCGCCTTCTCTGAAGCTATCCATTCATATTCCTTCAACATTTGGGCCACCTGCAAATATACAAGTAGCAAACATACTGAGGTTGTATTTTTTTTAAAGAGTTAGCAAATTAACATCCTAACATCATTCCACACCTTTTATTTATCCCAACACATCATTAGTGGGTATGTCTACAAGGCTTCACATGATTTGCAAGATTGCAGAAGAATCAATCATTTAGAGGAGCTTCCACATATACTTGTCACTTACTGCTTGGAATTCTTGTTTTTCTGTATTTGGAAAAGATATTGCTATTGACTTTTTATATTAGCTTTTTTAAAAGCAGTATCTGGTTGGTCCAAAAGATTAGAGTTTTCTTTTCACTTACTGTGTTTCCACTCTGGTCTGTTTTCTGCAAGTCTATACTCATATGCTCTTTTAGACAACAGAGATCAGCTCCTAAAAATTCCACTGCTTTTTGCTTAAAATTTTCATATAAAGATCTACGAACCAATATTACAATGCATATTATAAAAGAAAAGCTACTGCTTCCTTTGCCTGCAGTGAGAGAAAGGAGCACTTTTTCTTACCAGATGCAAGGAAAAGCACATTTTTGAAATACCTTAGCAGCAGCTTCAGTGGCTTCTTGCTTGTGTTTGCTAATGTTGTGTTCTAACTCTTTAACCTTCAGCTGCAATTCTTTGCTCTGTTCTCTGTATGTTGCCATCTCTTCATACTTGTCTTTTATCTCTTGATCCTGTACAGCAATGGTTTCCTTCTGCTTGGCCAGCTCCTTCTGGGCTTTCTCTACAGACTCCTGGAAAAGAAATGGGAATGCCATGGATTAGACCTCCTTTTTTAAAAAAACTGCTGTTAGATACTTGCTAAGAAAAAGAATGACAGGGAAAAAACCCACAAATCATAATAAAGCCAAAAAATAACTACTTAGACCAAACTTAAAATGTGTGTTGGGGGAAAAAATATCCAAATAAAATCCAAACAAAATGCACCCTATAATTCAGGTTTTTAGGGATGTTACCTCAAATCACATCAAACCTGAAAATGAAACACATTCACTTTACCTTGTTCTTGGACAGCTCAGCTGCCATAGCATTAACCTGTTCCTGGAAGGACTTGATAGCTTCATCTGTAGCCTCCATCTGTTGTTTATAGGAGCAATGTTCTCGTTTTAACTCTTCAAGTTCCAGAACTAATGCATCAACTTCCTAAACAGTTGTGTTCAAAAGCACAAAAGGTTATATTTAAATGGAAACAGTAATTTACAGTTCAATGTAATAAATGCTGTAAAAAACATTATAGTATCTGTTCTTCAGCACTGGAATTATCTCACAAAAGAAGAATCAGCAATTTCTTCATGTAAGTAACTACACATTAATGTTTTCTGAAACTGATGTACAAGAATTTCAGGAGAATCAAATTTTTGCAGCCCTTTTCTGCTTACTGCAAAAGCTTTTTGCATTGTGAAGTTGCTAACACAGGTTTTACCTGCTGCTTTTCTTTCATTCTTGCGCTTGAAGCATCTGCTTTTTTCTTTATGTCATCTAGTTTCTGCTGGGCATCCTTTAGTTCTTTTTCCCGCTCTGCTCCTGCATTTTTCATTTTGTCCTCCAATACCTTGTATTTTCCTTTTGCTATTTTTTGACTCTCTTTAGTTTTCAGTAAAGTTTCTTCACACTGCTCTGATTCAAGAAGTACAGTACTTAAATTGGACATTGTTCTCATTCTTAGGTTTACATACTTAATTGCAGCTAAAATCATCTTATTTCTCTACTAGGAAAAAAAAGCTTGCTAATTATTTCAGTCAGCTATTTTAATGATTGCTCTTTTAAGATGGTATATTAGTGCTATCAATTAGTGGTAAGGTTGCAAACAGAAAAAAAGCCACACCCCACCAAAGGGAAAAAAAAAAAGAGAGAAAGAAACACAGGGGCAAGTTTATGCCAAATAACACAGTCAAAATTTATCACTCAAATGGCTACCACATAAGTCACATGTCATCCTTAATATGTCAGCTTTATGCCTTCTTTTTTTCCTTTGAGTGTTTAATTACTGTTGCAGTTCCTTCCTTTTAGGTTTCTCTCTAGCTATATAAACAACGTTTTGCCAAGCTTTCTTATCAAACCACTTATATTGCAAACTAAGGATATATAAAACCAATGATTCTTGGGAAGATGAGGGGAACAGGAGGGAGACCAAAAACTAAACCAAAACAAAAAAATCAACAGCAGCAAAACCAGTCATATTTCAAATAAAATCCTTTATCACAGAATCACAGAACTACAGAATGGTTGAGGTTGGAAGGGACCTCTAGAGATCACCTAGTTCAACGCACCTGCTCCAGCAGGGATACCCAAGGCACGTGGCACAGGGTGGCATCCAGGCCGGTTTGGGAGATCTCCAGAGAAGGAGACTCCACAGCTTCTCTGGGCAGCCTGTGCCAGGGCTCTGTCACCCTCACAGTGAATTTTTTCCTCATATGGAGAGGGGACTTCCTGTGTTTCAACCTGTACCCATTACCCCTTGTCCTGTCACTGGCCACCATCGAGAAGAGTTTGGCCCCATCCTCCCTACATTCTTCCCTCAGGTACTTGTACATGCTGATCAGATCCTCTCTCAGACTTCTCTTCTATAGGCTGAACAGGCCCAGATCACTTCTAGTCTTTCCTCATAAGATACATACTCCAGTCCCTTAATCATCTTTGTGGCTCTCCACTGCACCCTCTCTAGAAGCTCAATGTCCTTCTTGTACTGTGGGGTCCAGACCTGCACACAATACTCCAGGTATGGCCTCACCAGAGCTGAGCAGAGGGGCAGGATTCCCTCCCTCAACCTGCTGGCAACGCTCCTCCTGATGCTGCCAGGATCCCACTGGCCTTCTTGGCCATGAGGGCACACTGCTGCCTCCTGGTTAACTTGGTGTCAGGCAGGACTCCCAGATCCCTCTCTGTGGAGCTGCTTTCCAGCAGGTCAACCCCTAATCTGTCCTGGTGCCTGGGGTTATTCCTCCCCATGTGCAGGACCCTGCACTTGTCCTTGTTGAATCTCATGAGGTTCCTCTCTGCCCAACTCACTTTTTTATATAAAAATCTTAATGCAACACCATTTTTCTAGTTATTATAAAGCATATAAAATTCCAAATAAGTGTACAAACTATATGGCAAGAGAATGACCTTTGCTTTCAGAATTTTATCTCTCCATACGCTAATTAATTACAATTTTTACTTATTACATATTCCAAGCTATTTTAAGCTAATATTTTCAAAGCTAAAAATATACGCTTTCCAAAGCAAGTACTTTGCTATGGAAACATCTGGATTTTCATAGCAATATCCATCTTATTTTCAGCAACTATTTTTCAATTAAAAAATCAGAACAGATTTGTCTCACCAATGGTTTTCCTCAGGGCATTCAGTTCTTCCTCTTGTTTGTGGTAAGCACTCTGCTGAAGCTTGGCTTGCAGTAGTTCTGCTTCTTCACACTTCATCTCCCACTGCTGCTTCAGTTGTCGGTACCTTTGGAGAGAGCAAGTGATAAATTCTACTTTCATGAAGGGTTCCCAGCACTTTGGTCTCTATGTTGAAACACAAAAATATAGAAGAATTTACATTCCCAGTCTAAGATACAGTGAGATACAGTGCTGCAGTGGACAAGTGACAGCGCTGAAAACTTGGTGTTTTCTGGTCCAAAACTACCTACTTATGAAATTCATAAGGGCTATAAAACAAATAAGCCCACACAGATAAGATAACTACATGATGTGCTTCCTTTAGTGGCCATCATGAAGTATAGGTATGTGCAATTCAGTACAGTACATGTAGGTATGTACAATTAAAATTACTATATATGCGGACCCAAAAGATACATAAGAACAAACGCAACAGATAAATGGGAGTCTGGCACCAACCACCAGGATGGAAGATTTTAGTCAGAAATGCTAAACGAAAATTACAATTGAGTAAAACTAGCTCTTTCCTTTTGGCCGTATTTCTCAAAAGTGATCAAGATGACAGATTAAAAACAAAAAAAAAAAAGAAATGATTTGAAAAATGAATCCACGAATAAATATTGTACAGAAAACACAACCTTTTTATCCTTTTTATGGTATTTTATAGAACTAACCAAATATAGGCAATTATCCATCTGCTAAGGGTATCTACAGTAATTGATTAAAGCTGAAATCAGAGTACCTGAGAACAACTATACTTAAAATAATGTAATTTAAATATTTTCAATAGCATCTGCCAGAAATTCTCCTCTAGCAGTTTTGTTGTTTCTTGGAAGAAGTTTGAGCTATTAGAATCTGTAACAAAATATGACCGAAGAAGATCTATTCTTTGGTGTATTTAATGTGAACTTTGGAAACCTTGAACATATTTCAAATAGATGATATCACATGCTAAAATTGTTTTTGCTTAAACTATTATTGTTGTACAAACAAAGTCAAGCATGTTTGTTGGTTTCTTCTGTTTTTCCTGTAAATTGTTTCCAACAGTTTCTGTTGGACAGAAAACAGTTCATCTGTTCTGCACACAAACTTCTCAAGAGGCCTTATACTCTCTAAAAGTCTTAAAATTACAATCATATAAAAAAACCCAGGTATTTACGTAAGGTAGCACTTACTTTTCAGCAACATTCTTTAAATTTATCAGCTCATTTTCTACAGTTTTAAGTTCAAATTCCTTTTCTCTGAGTTCTTTTTGAACTTCTTTAATTTCTTGAACTTTAGACAATATTGGTGCAGCCCCTGAGCTTGAACCTGTAAATGAAGAAAAAAGGAAATCCAAGCTAGTAGAAATCAGACTAGTGAATTCAGCACCAGCAAATAATGAAATCTAAATCATACTGGTGAGGCAGGCTGCAGATGCGTGTTAGTTACAAAAGAAAACAATAAAACAGGAGAGAAAACAAACAAACAATACACACACATACCCAAACAGGAAAGATTTACAATGATTGTCAGTTGTGATAGAGCACATTTTATCATGAAAGTTAAAGTCCCCAAACCCTACATACTAAAAATACATTTATGTATTTTTTAAAAAAGTATGAAAATATATATAAAAATACATACATTCATGTAAAATACATCAAATTTTCACACTTTGATTTACCTCATTAACAAGTGCTTGAATTTGAAGTATTTCCTCTCAACTCTTTTTAAGAAAACTCTGTAGTCAAGTAAGTATTTAAGTATTTTAAATCAAAACTTCTTTATGCAAACAGCTTGCCATTAATGTTCCTTTCCTATTCTAATTATATTCTAATTTCAGTTTAAAGAGATACAGACCATGTCTTTGCTCAAATAAAGCATTTAGAGAGCAGCTCTGCAGAGAGGGGCCTCGGTGTCATGGTGGACGACAAGTTGACCATGAGGCAGCAGTGTGCCCTCGTGGCCAAGAAGGCCAATGGAATCCTGGGGTGCATTAAGAAGAGCATCTCCAGCAGGTCGAGGGAGGTGATCCTGCCCCTCTACTCAGCCCTGGTGAGGCCACATCTGGAGTATTGTGTCCAGTTCTGGGCTCCACAGTACAAGAGGGATGTGGAGCTGCTGGAGAGAGTCCAGCGCAGGGCCACAAGGATGATCAGGGGCCTGGAACATCTGCCCTATGAGGAGAGGCTGAGGGAGATGGGCCTGTTCAGCCTGGAGAAGAGAAGGCTGAGAGGGGATCTAATCAGTGTATATAAGTACCTCAAGAGAGGCAGTGAGGAGGATGGTGCTGGCCTCTTTTCAGTGGTGGCCACTGACAGAACTAGAGGAAATGGCCACAAATGGAAGCATCAAAAGTTCCACAGGAACTTAAGAAAAAATTTGTCTACAGTGAGGGTGGCAGAGCCCTGGAACAGGCTGCCCAGAGAGGTTGTGGAGTTTCCTTCTCCGGAGAGCTTCCAAACCCGCTTGGACACAAGTCCTGTGCCACGTGCTCTAGGTGACCCTGAGTGTGCAGGGGGTTGGACTAGATGATCTCTAGAGGTCCCTTCCAACCTTAAGCATTCTATGATTGTATGATCATTTTTATACTAAAAAAAAAATCAAACAAAAAAATGTGCAGAGCAGGAAGCAAACCAACACAAACACAGTGTTATCATATGAACAAAAACAGTAGTTGCCTCCACTTAGAGTGCCCTGGGGGTCAAAAGTTTCTCCATCAAGCGTAACACTTTTTATCATTATTCTTTTGTCAAAGGTCACTCTCTTGGCGTTATTCATGCTGTCACAGACAAATGTTGTTCCGAACACATATTCCATGGCCTTCTGCAGTTCAGGTTCATACTCAATAAGACAAAGAGCCAAATGCAAGTTATCATTGCCAACCTAGGAATTGACAGAAATGAAGTTAGTATGCCAAATATTGTAAGCTTTTCAAATTCCATTTCTGGCATCTTTTGATAAAGATGCTTACTAGGAACATTGCTATTGCAACACAAAATCTTATTAAAAATAGAATAATAATTCAATATCATGAATTCTGATGTAAACGAGCAATTTCAAAATTACAAAGGAAGCAATTGAATCAGGATGCCCTCAGGCCCCAAATAAATGTTTATAAATGTAAAATTACCAAGACTGGGTTTTTAGCTCTAAAGAAAAACAAATAAATAAAGATGTCAAGCAAAATAAAGCTTTTATTTACATACCAAATTTTTAGCCAGTTGGATAGTTTTTTGTGCAATACACCTGGCTGAAATTCTGTTTAGTGGAATGACAGTGTATCGCCTCTTTAGTCCACCATTTTCCAAAAGTTTTTTACCAGTAGCCTAGAGTAAAAAAACATTATACAGCGTGCATGACTATATAATTCACTTTAAAAAAATTAAAGATTAATTAAAATTAGATTTATAAACTCAAAAATATGGAATTGTAATAGGAATAATACAAGTTTACTGTTGTTAACAACTGTGCTTGATCCTATTGATCTAACATCTTCATTCACCCAAGGTACTCTTGAGTAATCAGTTATAAAACATAGTATTTCTAACATGAATCACATGTTAGAATATTTGCACTTTCATATTAAATTAATAAGCATACCTCTGTGTCCACAACAATGTTATAGAGTTTTCCTCCAGCCACCACTTCTAGGGCTTTTGCTGTGGATATGTCTTTCACAATGATAAGGGATGCAACAAGGCCTTTCACAAGGGTTCGATCCCAGTATTTTTCTGGATCCCTTAAAATATAATTAATTATATCAGAGGTACGGTTTTCTTCATTATTTCTTTTTTAAAAAGTGTTATTAAAAATCATACAACTTATTATAGCTCTGTAAGAGACTTAAATTCTGTGACAAAAGAAAAAAGTTAAACTATGTAATTCAGAGCATTTTCTTCAACCAGTCATAATAAACCAGCAAAACTACATGTATGTGCAAATTCTACCCATTTTAAAAATAAAGTACATAACTTTGACTGGCAAAGAAAGATACAGTGTTGAGTTCCACAGGGTGAATCTATTCATAATCACTAGGGAGGACTTTCTGAAACATAGTGGTTATGTATTGCAGTAAAGGCTTAAACAGTAGTCTTATTTTTGTTCGTTTGATTGTTTAAAAAATAAAATAAAATCCTGAACTTTAAAGCAGAGCTATAGTTTGCAAATTCCAACTTACAATTTTTTTTCAGTTCAAGTGACTTTGATAAAGCTGCAATTCAAAATTTTCCTTGCTGGTCATTAATTCAGCTAACATTTTCTGACCTTTAGTCTTCCCCTCCTACACTTGCCTCAGTTAAGATGATCACTATGCACAGACAAAAGAAGAAAACCAACAGCTACCAAAGCAACGGAATCATCCTAAATCACACAATCCATGCATAAATTGTCCTAAGAAGCACTTTTAATCTGTTTTAGGATGACCCAGAGACCTTACCTGTATTCAAAATTTAGACTGGGGAACCTTGTCATTAAGCTTTCATATAATTCTCTCAGCCGAGTGATATCACGAGTCAATTCCTTCTTTTTTGCTGAGAGTGTTTCTTCTTTCATGTCTGAGTTGAATAAAACAGTTCACTGAGTATCCAGAGCACAGATACAATGCAGATTAAAAAGTGGTACACTACACTGATAAACTACATGTATACAGAAGATACTTAATTGAAAGTACTTAAATTATTTTTAAAATTTCAGTTTATTAACACCAACACATTATGAAACACACAGAAAAGAAAGTCTCATATGCTTCTCAGGGTTATTTCAGATATCAGGCATCGTGCTTCTGAGCAGGATAACTTCAGCTTCCACAAAAAAAACATTAGACCAAATGAGAATTAAACCTTTACTAGGAGTTTTAAGAGCAGAGAGGAAAGAGAAATCTAACATTCTATCTTTCTTCTAATTTTAAACTCAAACATTAGAGGCTTTGATTTCTGTGGAAGGTAAGAGATCTGTAGTGCTTTTATTAAATAAATTTCTCAAGGCATGAAAGCAGCATACACGCTCTTATATATCCTTTAATATTCCTACCCAGATTCCCCCTAAATTAGGCACCTAAGGTCGGTACAAACCTTCATAGTTCAGCCTCTTCATTTCATTTTCAAGATTTTCTTTCATTTTTCTTACAGTTTCAAATGCTTCTCGATCTTTCTTGTAGCCCTCATCCATCTTTTTCACTTCAGCTTGTTTTGTCTTTAATTCTTTTTGTGTATATTTCAACTTCATTTCAGCCTACCACAGAATCAGAACAAAGAAATGAAAGTTTTTCAAACAATCTGGTGGATGCATATTTTAGATGCTTGCACTAATTTGCTGCTTACACAGTTTGAGAAACCTTGCACTGGTTGAAGAAGTGTGAAAAAAAACAATATGAGCTACAATGTTTGTTTATCAGACCAATATAATATCAATAAAGAGGAAGAAACAGCATGAACAAGTGAGACACAGCTGCTGTCCTTATTTTTCCAAGATAATATTTTTTGTTGGGTTGTTTTTCTTTAAATGAGACAGAGAAGCTTTACTTTTAACTTTGAAAATTTAAAGTCATCAGTGAAAACTACTACAGTAACTTTTAGAAAATATAAATGGTGTCTGTTTTGATTGTGTGAATAGCACATAATTTAACTGAGTATAAAACAGGTCCTTCTGAATTCTGTTCAGTCTCAGGCAACTTTATTCTGATTCTTTTAGTTTTGCTGTAGAAATAACTTAATGTGGATGCACATCTTGGGTTGTTATATGGGTTTCTCCTTATCCACTACTGTCAGTGATGCAAGTAACATGAACCCTTAATTCTCTCTCAAATCCTAATTTCTTTTTTTTTTCTTACAGCAATACTGTATGGATTTTTCTATCTTATGAGGATTTTCACAACCTGTTTTAGAAGTCACTTTAATGCACATGTCAACCTACATAAATTTCAGAGAAACAGAAAGGGTATCTGAGAAAGGCAGAGCTTTGATTCTTACCTGTTTGGCTTCTGTTACCAATTTGCTGATTTCATTTTTGCACATGATCATTTGTTCAGCGAGAGTAGCTTCTTCACCATCACCATTGCTGGACAGGCCCGCAGACACAGCATTAAAATGTTTTTGTGCTACAGCTAAATCAACTGCATCTTTTTCACTTGCTTCCTGTAAAGCACTTAGTCCTTCCTGCATTTTCTTTAGTTCTTTCTCCTTTGATATTAATGCTTTAGAATCCTTTTTAAAAATGGAGGGACAAAAATTTTAAAAAGAGGTCAACTTCAGTCCCTTGATATTAAATCTACATTGTTTAGAAGTGGAGCTATGAATGACTTTGTCCAGAGAGATTTCTATAACACTGTCAAACTGTGGTTTTTACAGTCTGTCTTTGCATATTTCAAACATGTACTTGTGCTTGACGACTTGTGACAAGATTAGGAATATATAAAGTGATGACAACTGCCCCAGAACTAGCAAAAATAGCATTTTCTTCCTAATATTTATCAAGAAAAAAGCATTAAAGCTCTTGCATTAAAAGCATAAACTTCAAGCATCTGAAGCCTGGAGTTTTTCCTTCAATGTAAAGATCACCACATTTCCAGAGTGCAAAATATTTAAAGTGTTGCCAGGATCTTTCCTGGGTTTAAAAGAAAATTGGCAACAGCCAACAGTTCTACTTTCTACCCACACTCTGCTTCTGTTTGCAATGGGAACACACCACTTGCACCATACACAAATCAAGTAGTGCCATCAGCATTTGTTTCTGCTTTCCTGATACCAATCTTGCTGATCAACTTTGAAAATATAAGAACTCTTTTTTACACCCTTGCATCTGAAGAACATATTTTCTGTTTAAAAAAACTATATACAAAGGTCTTACCTCCTCCATGCTTTTTAACAGTTCTTCACGTTTATTTTCTTCACTTTTTAAGTTTTGCTTCTTGAGATCAAGACCACTTTGTGCTCTAGTAGCAACTCTCTGAACTTCTGAAAGGGCATGTTCTAATGAACGAAGAGTACCTCCAAATTCCTTCAATCAAACAAAAGAAACTGGTTCAGCTATGTTTAAACAGATGAAGATGAACATTTGATGAGCCTTGGCAGGCAGCAGATTCCAAGGCAATCCAGTCAAAAACACTTTTTCCACAGCCAAAAATCTAAACTAGCCTGAAGCCATTTAGGCAGCACATTATCAGTTATCACTGAACACTGTCCTTGTACAAAAACCACATTTAGGCATTTGAAAGCTCCTCAGATATCTGGTATCCAAACAATTCTTATGCCCCAAAACTGGAGATCAGTATTGATTTCCACTCACTTTACCTAACTCACTAATCTCACTTTATATATTTTTTAAGACACCAACAAAATGGGGAAAATCAATGTGACAAAGTTCATTACCAAATATACAGAGGAAAGAAGAGGAAAAGAATTGTTTCTATTAATTATAGGCATTGGAAATAAAACATTTCAATCAAAAATGAAACTGTTAAATGGATATTTGTAGGCAATGGCTAATATATAATAAAAAGATAATTCATTTTTTTCTAGATGTGAATTTTTATCTCATACAACTCTTGAAATTAACACACTTACATAATTGCATGCCTGCTTTCCCACATACCTCGTCCCTTTTCTTCTCAAGTTCTGCTATTTCTTCATTAAGTTGTCTCACTTTAGTTTCACTCTCTGCTATTGATTTCTGAACCTTTTCTACACTAGCCGTCATGTCCTTTGATGCATCAGAGGAGCGCGCCTTTGTCTCTTCAGCCAGAACAAACTCATAAGCAACATACAGTCGGCTTAAGTGCTCTATTGCTCGTGTTACTTTTTGGTACTCTAGATAGGATGATCGTTCCTGAAAAGAAGACATGATGATTAAGGTAAAAATAATAATAAATATTACCTGGGACCATTATAGAAAGTTTCTTAGTGGTTCTACTGCCTTTATTGTTTGTTACAAAGTATTTCTAATACCATTTTTTGTTACATGAATGGCAATAAGAATGGTCTGTTTTCATGTTTCGCAGTATGTACACAGGAAGATGGGAAAGATTCTCCGTGTTCAAAAATATATTTTTAGTATTGTACCTCATGGGCCTGCTTAGGAAGATCTTGGATAAAACAATGACCATAAGTTGACTATAAAGTGAAAATATAATCTTTTTAAAGAACAGAGACACCATTTATTTACTATTTTGATGTAGTATTGTTTGTTTTCTTGCTTCTCCTGCATTTTCTTCCAGAATTCCTTTCAAAACCTGAATGTCATGTCTTCAGTGTTTGGTCAGGAATTAAAGGGTTTTTAGAGCACTGAAGAACTTTATAAAACTTGAGAACACGTTATTTTTTAGCCACATACATTGGTTTTTAGTCCTACACACTAGTTCAAACAATTAAACCTATTTTTTTCAGTATTCTAAGGCCTCTGCCCACTCTTCTAATCTTTATTACCTCTTTCAGCTTCTGTAAAGTTGGAGTGATCTCCTCCTCTAAGACCTGAAACAGAAGACAGAACACATTTACTTACAGATTTTTGCAGTTCTTAAACCTTTAAGTATCTAGTTGCAGATGCAGAAAAAAAAAGTATTCTATAAATTAAAAGCATGCTAGACTAGTTATTTTATTATCTTTCAGAACCAAAAAATAAGGTACACTTTCAACATACAGTACCCTTTGAATTTCTTTCAGTTTGGCTTCCTTTTTCTCTATGGTTTTCTGAGCGTTTATTTTCTTGCATTCGTACATTCTAGTGCCAGCAGCTTCTTCAATCATAGCTAAAATCTAAAATAAAACAATGTGACAGAAATGTGATTTTTTTCATTATCAAGTAAAATATGATAAGCACAAAACTAAGCTGAACAACTTATGCCTCACAACTTTTCCAAGATACTGATTATTGTCATTCGAATTAAACTAGTAGAACTTGAGGAAAAAAACTCCCACAAAATTCTTACCTCTGCTGGTTTCATATTCAGCACTTTGGTAATTCGTCCCTGGTGAAAAGAGATGAAACAAGAATGGTGTTTGCGAACCATGCTATAGTATAAAATACACTGATGCATTACATTTCAAGCTTAAACACTTATTTATTGCCAGGATTTGCTTCTAGTTTTGCTTCTATTCCTTTTTTTTTTTTTTTTTGGAAGTTCAAACAAATATAAGTCACATTCCTTAAGCTATAAGGATAGTTTCAAGCTTATCAGCTGAAGTATTCCAAATTCCTATTTATATCTAATAAAGCAATATTGTGCTTACCAACTTGCCAATCTTAAGTAAATCCTTAAACACAGACTGTCTTACTGGAGACTTGGTTGCATGTTACTATGGTGAAGTAGGAAACTGTAACAATGTTATTAGAAACAGTAAATCCTGTTCTGTTTTAATTCCTTGTCCCTCTGCTGATGCTTATGATGCTTATGATGCTTTTCACCTGGCCAGCTTTGTTCATGGCAACTTAAAAAAAAGTTATCAACTTTGTACAAAACATTGTCTAACTTGAAATGAAAAAATACTTCGTCTTCTAACGCAATAGTAAGAGCAACATGTAGCTTGAAAATAGCCAAAAAAAATATAAAATTGCAATTGGCATCAAAAGATGGGTTAGTAAAAAAAAAATTCATTTAGATGCTAATGAGTTCTCCATGTTCTCCACTAATAGCCTCTCCATGTTACCGGAGAGTAGCGAAAACGTTGCCTGCCTTAGGTGTGAGCAGGTGGACAACCTGCTCAGCCTGGTGGTGAAGATAAAGGAGGAGATAGAAAGGCTGAGGGCCATCAGGGAAAGTGAAAGAGAAATAGACTGGTGGAGCTGCATTCTGCAGTCTGCCCAGGAAAGCCACTCAGAGAACCTCCGAATTGGGTCTGTAAATCCAGTACCCTCTTGCCATAGGGCAGGGGGGCAGAAATAACTGTATCAAGGGACGAACAACAACGGAAAAAGGTCTCTATTGAAAGTGGCAGGAGAACCCTTCCACAGTCCACCTCACCTCCACCTGTGACCAC